TATTTAGATTTATGATATTATTTACATGAACTTATTTAATAATATGATTTATATTAAATTATTATCTCAAATTTTCATTTTATATCACTACTCAGTTTCTTATATTCTTTTCATTTATTTTTAATAGTCTTAATTTAATTTTTTAACTTTTAAATATAAATTTTAGATGAAAATTCAACATATCATATAAATAATAATTAAAAATTTTTTATCAAATAAAAATACTAAACAAAAGCTATATATGGTAAAAAAATAAAATAGAAATAAACGTATTAAATAATATTCTAAAAATAAAAAATAGACAATACAATTTAAATTTTAAACATTTCAAATTAAAAATTAAGTATACTAAAGTTAGTTGAAAAAGTAAGTAAAAGGGTGCGATCTAACACTAATGTACTAAGTCACATTAGAATTTTACAGTTAAATGTATTTGGGTAAAACTGGTATTAAAATGAGTGATTTATTTGGAAATTTTTGTGTTGTACCCCTCGTTTCTATTTATCAACCAATAATAGTTTAACTGAATTGGTACTAGTTAACTTATAATATACTAATAAATAAAGTAAATAAAAAGTACAATTTTTTTGATACATCTTATTATGAATTGTACAAGAAGGGATAACTTTCTCCTATTCTCAAATCCTTCCCCACTCGACTCAAGTCTCGAATTTGAGATCTTCAATTTGAAGTCTCAAGTTTTTAATCGTTAAACCATCCCATTAGGGTAAATAAAAAGTATAATTAATGCACCTTAATCTATAACACATATTAGAAAAATTAATAGAATATTAACTTTCTTATTAAACCTAATAAAGAATAAAGAATTTTTTTATTCGATGTCTTTAATGCACATGTTAATAATATATTAATTACATATTTTTTAATTACCTATTATAGAAAATATAAAATTTAAATTCAATTTTATCAATCACTTAATTAAAATTTTATATGTATTATTAATGTTAAAAATAAAATTAATTTTTGTATTTTTTTTATACAAATTATAAAAAAATGTG